CCCTCACTCAATCACAAATTCTCTCTGTTTTCTCACTTATTTTTTATATATGTTTTGCAAAGTGCAAATTGAGCTTTACAGAAGTGATGTGATTCTAACACAACACCACGTGTGTGTGTGTGTGTGTCTCTGTGCAGGTGGGTATTTTGCCGGCAGCCTGGCGGTGATGACGGACGCTGCTCACCTGTTGGTCGACTTCACCAGCTTTGTCATCAGCCTCTTGTCCCTCTGGCTCTCCTCCAGACAGGCCACACAAAAGCTCAGCTACGGCTGGCACCGAGCAGGTAACGTTTATTCATCCGTCAGTGCCACAGCTGCACCAGGAATGATTTTCCAGTGATTCCAAATATTATGTTTCCCCCATAATTTTTCGTCTCTCTCCTCCGTTCAGAGATCCTTGGCGCTCTGCTGTCAGTTTTCACCATCTGGCTGGTAACAGGAGTGTTGGTCTACCTGGCCGTGGAGCGCCTCATCAGCGACGACTACACCATCGAGGGCACTATCATGCTCGCTACCTCTGGTTGTGCGGTGCTGGCCAATATAATGTGAGGAAAACAGACACTCAGTTCTCATTAATGCAGCTTTTATCAGTGCACAGCGGCTCTCTGAGTATTTATGATTCAGTTAAAGACGGCAGAGCAACACTGATGGTCATCGTTTGAGATGATGAACATCAGTATTAAATGTAGTTTAATCTGTTTTGTCTCGGGACTCGAACCAGGAACCTTCTAAACGCTGCCGTTGACCCGTTTCATACTGACTTTGTTTCCTGTCTCAACAGCATGGCCCTCACCCTTCACCAGTCCGGCCACGGCCACAGTCACGGCGGGCTCAGCTCACACGGTCACAGCCACAGTGACGAGAAAGGAAAAGGATACAATCAGATCTCAGGCCACAGCCATGACAACCACGTAGATGTGGAGCAGAAAGGAGCGGAACACGGTGTGTTTCTATCCTCAAGTCATTATTTTGTCCCCTCCCTTAGGATTCAGTCCCCTGTGCACACTATTTTCTACTATGGGTTAATTACAATCCACCATAATGGCGTTATAATGGAATGTATAATGACTTTTAATCCGTTGTATAATTGGCTTCACTGCCCTGTTATGTCTCTGTCAGGACGGAGGGCTCAGCAGGCCAACGCCAGTGTGCGAGCGGCCTTTGTCCACGTGGTGGGAGATCTCCTCCAGAGTGTCAGCGTGCTCGTCAGCGCCATCATTATCTTCTTCAAGGTAACCAGTCTCTGCGTGAATGCACACAGCGTGAAAAGTCCGAAGCGGTTGAACTGTGGACATTGTCCTGAGTCGCTCTTTCACACTGGGGGATTGTCGAGTCAGATTTTCTCATCTGCTGAAAATACACTGACGCAAAAAAGTACACTGGGGAAAGTGTTTTGTTTTTGTCATACATGTCTCCTGCTGTGTCTTGTGGTATTGTGTAACCCTAATTTTCTGCTTTATGTTTTTTTTCAGCCAGAATATAAGATAGCTGACCCCATCTGCACCTTCCTGTTCTCCATATTAGTCTTATGCACGACCTTCGCCATCATGAGAGACATCCTCATCGTCCTGATGGAAGGTGAGTAATCGGCTCATGATAAGATTTCCATATTATGTATTGTTTCTTTTTTTGCAAATTGAAAATAGGTGATAGAATCATGGAACTCCACCTGAGATCTCAGTCCTCCACTCTCTCATCCATAAATATTCTCTCTGTCTAATAATTACTCTACTATTTGTCTCTTTATCTTGTCCATGCATGACTCAGGGACTCCAGCGGGGGTGAAGTACAGCGAGGTGCGGGATGGTCTCCTGGCGGTGAAGGGGGTCACAGCGGTGCACAACCTCCGCATCTGGGCCCTCACCATGAACCAGGCTGTGCTGACGGCACATGTAGCCATAGGTGAGCGTACAGCTGCTCTATGACGCTACAATCATCTATTAAACACTTTAACACTGTCAATTCATTCTAAAAGGAATATTACCTGCACATATAAATCTAACAATAGTTTATTGTGGTTTCCTTCATCTCTTCTCCACAGATGAGTCAGTGGATGCTCAGACTGTCCTCAGAGAAATGACACAGGCTTGTTTCTCCTCCTATAACTTCCACTCTGTTACCATTCAAATGGAGAGACAGGCCGACCTGAAGCCCGGGTGCACCCTGTGTGAGGACCCCAAGATGTAACACGTCTAGGAACCCGCCGCAGTCATCGTCCGCACACACAGCAGAAAACAGCCAAGCTACCATGTAAGCTGCAATTTCCCGCAGTGATCACAGTTTTACGTTCTTCCGCTCTGCTCATTGGACCCTGAGGTCTCGTGTTTTACGGCAACATTAACGCCAAAGTCACGCGACTGTGCCTTTGTGTTGACAATCCCCCCAAAAAGTTTTACCACATTTAAAACTTAAATACACATTATGTTAGTTTCCTTTAAGTGTCTTTGTGTTAACATAGAAATCACTCTGCATTGTGTTTGTCTTTTCTGAATCATTACATGTTTAATGACTCTCTGCTATCATTTACACTTCTAGACTAAAAGTTGATCTAATCTTACTTACTGACTTTACGTGACACTTGCAGGGCGGTGCTAAAGTCAGTCACTCACTTGCGCGCAGTCTGATACATGTAAATAAAGACCAATGAGTATTTCTACTTGTGGAGTATTACACCAGCAACCTGAGACGTCGGGCATCAACACATTTCCACTGCTTTTGTACAGATGTGAAGGTATTAGCTGAAATGTATTATTCAATAAAATATTCTTTTTTCAAACACTGTTTTATGAATATTATCTAATTTACAGTGTCGTAAAATCCTTCATGACAAAGCACTGTATTCGTTTAACCCT